AACACTCTTTGTACATCCCAACGGACATACGGGATCGAAGGCCAGTTGCTATGGGGAATCAAACCACAGTATGCTGCGTCAGAGTAAATGGCGTTAAGTCGAAGCCTTTCGGCGTTCGCACTGGTCTCCATCAAGGCTGCGTTCCGTCTACTCTCGTGTTTGTGTGGTACATGGATAGAATAGTCAGGAGGAGCCAAGGTGATGAGTGTATCGGTGTAGGAGATGTGAAGACGACCTTTTTTATTGGCATCTTCTACAACTGATCAACAGTGCTCCCTAGAAAGGTTCGCAGCCGAGCGCGACGTGACCGGCATGCGCGTGAACGTATCTAAAACGAAAAGCCTAGAGCTTTCTCGTTTCTCTTCTCCTAAATGTTGAAGTAGTGGAGCAGGTGGCGAGGTTCAAGTACCTCGGAGTCGTATTTACTAGTGATAGAAAATTTGAGGAAGAGATCGACCGGCGAATTTGAGTAGCCAGTGGCGTTCCGCGTGAACTAGCCCGAACCATTATGACTAAGGCAGAGCTGGGCCTGAAAACTAAACTCTCGGTATTCAAGTTGATCTTTATCCTGATGCCTACGTACGGTCAAGAATCGAGGACCATGACTGAAAAAGGAGGTCCTTGACTACCGCGTACAAGCGGCTGAAATGGGCTCTCTGAGACGAGTCGTTGGTCTTATGCGCCTTTATATTATCCGCAATACGTCCGCGAGATCCTTGGTTTACAGTCGCAGCATTTTCAAACTGAGAAGTCACAGCTGCAATGATTTGGGCCTGTATTCCAGAGTGGCTCCAGAAAGGAAGGCGAAGCAACTATTATTTGCCGAACTGACTGGCAGAAGGCCCAGGGGACGGCCAAGATTATCCTGGTCCAAATATATGGAATGAGTATGCTCCAGACTGCGGTTGTCTTCTGCCGAAGCTCGGACTCTGGGACAGGATCGAGAACGTTGGAAGCACTGTCTGACGTGTCTACTTCCGCGACTAGAAAGGAGAAGCGGTCATGGATGATGAAGATAATCACTCATATTTTGCTAATTTAGAAGTGTTAGCATAGACTTGAAGAGGTGTAAATATGTCTATCCGAAATAGCTGAAGTCTACAACGTAGAATCGACGCAGCGAAACCAGCAAACGAGTAAAAATGACAAGCAGCACCTTTGGAAGACTGTAAATGTTCTTATCCAAGAAACTACCATTATGCTTGTAGCAGAACGTTTTCGCTTAATGTGTGCTCCCAGAGCGAACCTATGGATGAGAAACCTGGACCGCAAGAAATAAAGCTACTCATAAACCGTCGACTAAGCAATGCAGCATGAAAAAGTGTGTGCTGGGAATAAGAAGCAAAAATTGGCGAATGAATGGATAAGAGCACAAACAGGAGTCTGTGATGTGAATGCATGAGTGAAGAAGTCGAAGCTACTATGGGTAGGTCACACTACAAGGATCGAACATCACTGGACAAAAGACATTAGAGTGGGTTACAGGTGAACGCAAAAGGCCCATACGATTACTTCCGGATCTGAGGATGAGCTGAAGAAATCTGTTAAAAAGCGTTACAAAGAATGGCGAAAGAAAATTTTGAGGTCTCCACCCAATAACTGATCAAAAAAGGCGGCTGATCATGCACTACTAATATACTGCTCGAGGATTCTTGTACTCTGCTACAGTGTATCTGTTAACTACTTTATGTGAAGCTAAAACAAAGTTTTGGATAATGTTCTTAAATTTCGAATTTCTTATAGTGGTTCAGGGTGATGATGAAAAGATACAATTGTTACTGTTTACAACAATAGTTCGTTAACGTATCGGATATAATATTTCTAGCACATTTCTCTAATGATACGCAATAGTATACAAAACTATCAAATATCCTCTTTCAGTCATTTCAGTAACCCATTATTTCTATCTAGCTCAGAAAGGAGCGACTTCCTGAAGCATTTTCAATGGTAAATTGCTCTGCAACCAAAGAAATACAGAGGATGGGTTTTCGACGAGCGACAATAGCACGTGAATAGGATACAAGCGCCATCTTGCTCTAGGTCGAAGTGATAGTTAGGTGACATGCAGTTTTTCAGCAGGAATCCGTCATGCCAGTTCTTC